CAGTCTTCTTAGGAGTATGAAAGAAAGTAAGGATAAAAATGAACTGAGATCATGAGTTCTGATTATTATTTTGAATCACTCCACTTTTATTTACACAGCCTACGTGGAGCTGGCCCCTATTGGCTTCAGGTACTTCATGTCAGGTATGAAGTGCGCAGGTATGTGCCTCAGTGCACTTGTATGCATCTGCACTTCTGCAGTACATACAATTGTTCCCCTAACCCTCACCAACCTGCTGTTTATCAGTGCAAAAACTCCCTCCGACTGCCCTTTCCTCTGTGTGCTTGTGCATATTCTTAATGTGGATTGTGGAATTTCTTGTGCCTCATTGTGTGTAAGAGTGTATATGTATATGTTTAGCTTACAATTTAATAAACATATGGCTAGAATTTAAAATTTAAAATATTTACTGAAAAATAAATTAAGGCACATAAATTTTCTCTTAATAGGGATATAAATATTGATCAGTGATCGAAGTTGTGTGCAGTTATACCTGAAAATATAAAGTTTATGTAGACAATGTTAATAATATGTAGTGCCTACTTTATAACCTGAATTATTCAACATTAAAATCTAAGACTAAGTCATCACAGCATATTTTAACTGCTGGTTTTTATGTAGCTTAAAAGCACTGAAATATATTTAGGAACAACCTTGTCATTTTTGCAATTAGCTCTTCTTTTAATTAAATCATTTCACACTTTAGAGATTATAGAAGGTGATGGAAGAGAGATACTGAACTGTGCTCATGGCAGTGCCTGAGCTTGTGCGAGAAAAATTGTTCATTTTATTTACCTCTTTGCCTCACATATTTTATTCTGGGATATATATTAAACTAGGTGTGCACCAGTCATGAATTGTCTGGCCATTTTTTGTAGCCTTTTTCTTACCTAAAGCTCACAGTGTGTGGGCTAAATGGACACATGAAACATATTTCCACTACTTTCTATTAGCCAGAGTAATGTAAATGATTATCTGCCAAACTGGCATTTAAGTCCTTAAACTCAGACAAACTCAGTTGCCTGTTTAACCCTCTATTGCACGTTGCCTCAAAGTAACAAACCTATTTTCCACACTTTACAATGACTGTAGTCCCTCTGTTTCTCTGCATACTTTGTTAGTCTCCTTTCACCGTGTTCTTTAATGGTCCGTACCCTCCCAGGACCACCACGGAGCAGGAATTATTTGGGTGGTGGATCATTCTCAGCACTGCAGTGACACTGATGTGGTGGTGGTGGTGTGTTAGTGTGTGTTATGCTGGTCTGAGTGGATCAGACACAGCAGTGCTGCTAGAGTTTTAAACACTGTGTCCACCCTCTGTCCACTCTGTTAGACACAACTACCTTGTTAGTCACTCTACAACACTATCATTTCTATCCATTGTCATGAGTTGTGCATAATTATGCTGCAACGTTTGCAATGTTTGGGTTCATATTTGTTTATCAGACACTTCTAAGAAGTTAATGTAATTAATGGAAATTAATGAAAACTACTAAAAGGCTGAGACAAATATTTTATGGTGTTTCACACCTTTTATCCTGTGAGAAAATATTAGCTACAAGGAATATACATCTTATTACACTGCATATTTGCAAAGGGATCTATTTCGATTGCATAAGATTATTTAGATCAGTTTGAAAGCAGTTATAAAGCAGCAGCCATTATATATCTAAAGGTTTGCTGACACTTGCTTATCTAACATTTCTACTGAAATTAAGGGTATTAATAGGGAGATTTGCCCATCATGGCTGCAGCAACAGACTCTGCTCTTCTGAGAAGGCTTCACAAAAGATGTTGGAACATTGCTGTGAGGGTTTGATTGCATTCAGCCACAAGAGCGTTAGTGACATCAGGTACTGATGTTGAATGATGAGATCTGGATCTCGAACTCCAGTCCAACTCATCGAAAAGGGTGGAGTGGCACTCACTCACTCTAGAGAAAGCAGTTTCGATGCATCCCTCTGGCCGTCGCTTTTCTTTGGACATAATGACTTTAGGTTCACATGCGACTGCTCAGAGTGTCCCATTCTACTGACAGTTCTTATTGATGGAAAGTGTACAAACTGTGTTTGTGTAATTGAGTGCCTGTGTCAGCAATGGGTGCACCTTAACCCTTTAAATGGCCCAAGTTACCAAGGTACACACTTCTATAACCTAAGAATAGCTCAACCAGTTTGCATTGAAGTCCCTGTAGTTACTGAATAATAAGCCTAAGTATGTAATAAACCTGGATTTTGAGTGGTTAAAGTAACTGTATTCACATTAATTTAATAGGGTGTCTAGATACTTTTGGTCATATAGTGTGTCTGTACATATGTAAAGTTTCTGAGTTTATTTTTACAATAGCCATAAAACTTTGATGGCAGTGCCAGTTTTTAAAACTGCATTTTTTTCTATTCATTCATTTAAGCATGATACATTCTGTGTGTTGTGCTAGAACGTTGCCTTGGGTGCTCATTAGTTTTCTTTAATCACCTTTTTTGCTTTTGGAGGTGAGTGCTTTATTGCCACAAGTTTCCTCATAATTAATTCCCTGATAATTCCTTTGGAACCATTGATTTGTACCATTCTCACTTTCAGCTCTTACGTCAGATCTGCTTATGTTTACAGAGGAAAACTCTGCAGAATGGAATCTGGTTTGAGTCCCAGCTGTGCTACATACTTCTATAGCCAAGTCTCCCAGAGGGCACAGTTGGCTGTGTTCTCAAAAGCCCCCCTGTTTAGCAGTTTAGCACAGTCGGGCATGCCAGAGCTAATCGCTTTTTTGTGCCCACTTCCAGGCTTTAGTGACAGTAGGTTTGTCATGATTAAACACTATTTGGTTATCGCAGAGTTGTTGGATTTGGAGGTGAACTGAAATTGGAAAGCAGAAACATAAACATGTATACTTTCCCAACTTCAGGCAACATGCTGAATGGAGCTGATCTGGCTTGCCTTTGCCTACTTTGGCGTTGAAGTCAGAAGCTAGCTATTGGGAGGGCATATGTTTTTAAGCACTGAATCAGATGAAAGTTTTTGAAATATACAGCACTGTGCAAAAGTCTTAGGCACCCAAGAAAATTGTGAAACCGTGTGTTTCCCGTACACCAAAATAACATCAGGATAAATGCAAACAAACTTTAATGAAACTAATTTAATGAAGTAACCAATCCCAAATCAGATATTGGATGATGACTACTAATAAAACTGGGCTGCCTTTAGGAGAGGTTTGGGAATGTTTACATCAACACTCTAACATACGTAAAATCACCTTTTTGTGCTAATGATATTTGTATTTTGTTCTAATATTAGTGATTTTCTAAGCAAATTATTGCTTACTGCCCAGAAATATAGCTTTTAAATATAATTTTCTCAGGTGTCTAAAACTTTTGCACAGTACTGCTTTTGAAACAGTAACTGGAAGTAAAGAAACCAAATAAACTCAGTTGTTTGAAATATCTTTAAGTAGCATTTATAGTACAGTAAAATATGCAGTTTGTTTGAGCCAGTTTAATTAGAAATGTGAAAACTCAAGTGGCAGCTAATAAAAGAAATCTCATCATATTGTACGTTATTGTACTTTTTTTCTTACAAGCTTCTTATTAAAGTGTAAATATGTTATTAAAGTCATTTTAGTGTCGTCTCCAACCAGGTTGGTTTTATATTATTAAATGTAAAAGTGTAAACTACCGTTCATAAGTTTAGAATCACTTTCCAGCATCTTTTGTTATTTTATGTACAATAATAACTTAAACAGTGTAGATTTAAATACAATTATTATTTATTACAATCTATTCACTAACAAATATTTTTAAATGTTTTATTCAGTATTTCAAGAACTGTGAACAAGAACTCATTAAATGGTAAATAATACAATGTAACAATCTATCTCTATTCATTTTTTCTCAAGTTATTTTCTGCAAGATTTGGTCTCCGCTTGTGAAATATGGTGAATTCTGAATATTAATTTTATTATACATACATTCATTTACATTGAATGTATATACATGCATATTATACCCTATTTAATTTATTATACCTTTTATTATACCTGTTCTTCAGCTCAGTTAATCATTCTAACATTTCTTTATTTTTATTTATAGCTTCATACATTATCAAAAACAGATTCCAGAACTTTTAAACAGCCATTCCAAATGTTTGAATGGTAGGCATGAGCAGTACGCTAACACATTTAGTTTTGTTTTTTCTTTTTTTTCTGAATAACTTGTATTTGAGCAAGATTAATATTTCAAGATGAGTATTTGTAATGTAAACAACCTACAAATCACAGCTACAAATGAAAATGTAAACTTTGCTTTCCAGCACCTACTGTCTACAAACAGTTTGATCAAAAGTAGCATGAGCACAAATGTTACAATTTACCCCACAGGTGGGGTTAATTGTAACAGACTGAAAGGCTAATTGTAACAGTTGCTGAAAGTCTGGTAAATCAATGCAAACACAGTACATTAATAAGCTTTATGTCATTTGAACCAAATAACCTTTCTAACCTAACCTAAATTTGATTTGTGGAAGCGGCTCAAACAGGGTTTGTTTTTGACCCCAAAGTGGAAGAGCACATATCAGAATCTACAGCATATATCTTTTACGAAACTAACCCCACTGTATGGAGGCAGTGCTTTAGCCTGGCTGGCTCTGAGTTGCATCAAAATGGTGCTATATTGCAGCCACCAGGAGACTGATTAAGATAATGTAGGTGTGGATTCTGTAACTTATACACACAGCTCAGTTATGTAAAACGTTACTTTCTTCTGGGTATATCTCAAAAAATATTTTTCTGGTCACTGTGAAAATTCACAGATGATGTTGGTATGGGAATATAAGAGGACGGCTGAAGGCACATTTAACTGCGTACAACATCCACAATACAGTTTAGCCCCCTCTATCTCAGAGCTCAGTGCTTTCCCCTACTGAATGTCTGAAAACTTTCTGCCAACCCACATGCACCTGTCCTCCTCTATACTCAGTATGTTGAGTAGCTGATCTACTGTTTCAGGGAGCTTCACGTTGGCCGAGCTGGGTGTGTGTGAGCCTCCTCAGCAGCAGGGTGTGTGCTGCTCTGACCTGAGCCTGGTGCAGCGGAGCTACTCTCTGAGCACTGGCTCTGACGCCGACTCGGACCCTGAGGGTGTGATGACGCCGGAGCGCGCCGTCCAGCTGTGGAGCGGCCAGGGTCTGAAGTCCTGCCGCAGCTCAGGCCTATCCAGCCCTGACCACTCAGCATTGACCCTCACCGACTCTGAGAACGAGCACAAGACTGATGACGAGTCAGGTAGGAAACTCAAAGGAGTTAAAAATAGGGTTAAAAAAGAGTCAGTGAAAGGGGGCAGCATGCAAGAAAGAGGGTGTGTGTGGACAGTGAAAGAGGCAATGAGTGATGAAGAGATGGGTGCAATGACAGACAGGGATGAACTTAGCTCACTAAAGTCAGATCTATCATTTGTGACGCATTCTATCATTTTGACTCTGAAGAAGGAATGGCACAATTGTGTGGAAACCAGTCAAAAACTCAATTCTGGGCTGGTTTGGGGTTTTAATGGTTTCTGATCAAATAAAATGCGAAGTTTCGTAATGTGTCAGTGTTATAGTACAATAGATACATTTATTGTAAGAATTGTTTTGTTGCTGTCAGTACAAAACCACATATCTCCAAAAAAACAACATTACAGGAGAAGGAAAGAACTTTCAATATAACTTAATTTAACAAGACTTTATTGTAAGTCTTTATGGACTGTTTCCATTTGTCTGTTCATCAGAAAATTTTGGGGCTGGCATTTTCAAATTATGTAAATATATACAAAAATCGACATACAATGGTTTGTTCACACAATGCATGCAGTAATGTTAATGCATAAAACTTAAAATGCAGGTCTGGCTCAAAGTGACTCTGAGTCACATCTGATTATTTAGGTCTGTTGTTGCCTATGGTGGAAAAGGGCCACCAATGCACCTGAACAAACAGTTCAATCAGAAATTACATGACATTTGGATTTCTAGGAAATTGTTTTTGTAGGGAGAACCACAGTTATTTCACACTGTTTGTAAAATGCATGCAGTCCAGTCTACAGCCAATTCAGCTAATGGTAAGTGGCAGTAATGCAGGGTCAGCCAGCCCGGTCTCCAAGGCAGCGCACTCTGCAGCAGTCTGTCAGTGAGCAGTATGATGAAATTAGTCAAGAAACTCCACAATCAATAATAAAACTGGTTGTTTCTTGTTTCCTCAAACCTTCATGGTTAATACTTAATTAATAATATTTGATGATTATTGTCCTTATTGCTGACAGTTTCAGTCAGTGAGGTTGTTGTAAAGCATTACTGATTTTTAGCGCTCAAAGTTATTTAGAACGACTTACAGCTGTGGTTCCCAAACTGTGGTAAATCCAGATATTTACAGCTTTATCTTCATTCCATTAGCCAGCAGCACAATTACACAGGTACTTCTCTGATACCTCTGATACCTCTTCTTTGCCACCTCTGCGCTTCACTGTCTGATGCCTGAGCAAGAGAGCCTTTCTGAAGTTACTATGAGCAGATGTTTGAATACTGAGTTTTTTCAAAAAACAATGAAAGATGTCTGGATAGTGTTGCATGCAGAGTATCATATCCTGGCAGACTGTGCTGTTACGACATCCATACAGGACACCGATCTGTACAGTGATGTCTGTCTCTATATTTATGAATCTACTTTTACCCAGGGCGTGTGTTCAGGAGTGATAAATGAGTGCTGTATTTATAATATCCAGCACATGGCAGATCCGTGCCATATTAGTTAGATATTTTTATCTTCATTTTACATTATTTGTATCAAAAGTCACGTTGGTGATTTCCTGTGCTGCTGCCTTTGTGATTACAAATGAAGAAAGCTCACTGGCTTTAGAAGCAACTCCAATATTATTTATTTATGCAGTACTATTCAGTACATCCGGTGTGATGTGTCACTGCATCATAAACAGGTTTGCTGTATTAAGGGGGATTGACTTTATAAGGATAAATGTCTTACATGTACACAGTGGCAGTATATATGTGTGTGTATAAGGAGCTAGAGGGGGTATGCAGCAGAAGATTTAAAATCTGAGGGAGTGCAGGACTGTAAAAAGTTTGGAAACCACTGATTTACAGTTACTAAATGGTTTATTTAAAAATAAATACATGTGCTAATATATGTGGCATGTACTTCCAAACATTTCAAAAATCTTCATCAAAGCCCCAAACATGGTTGTAATGACACACTAATTTGAATTGCCATACACAGTTTTTGATTGTATGTGCAGTGTATTTCCTGTTATGAGCTCTTATCTTTTCATACCATGTATCAGTTTGTCTGTCCCTTTATGACATGCAGTCCTGTGCCAAATAGACCATCTTTCATTTATTTAGTTTTCAGTCAAAGCTGTCACCAATGTACAAGTTAATTTTTCAATAGATATTTCTGAAGAGATTACATTTAAAATAGTCCACTTGCACAAGACAAGGAAAAGCCAGTGGAAGATAAGTGGGAAAACTGGAGGTCAAAAAATAAAGGATATAGAGAAAATTTAACTTTTGCCCACTCCTTCCACTGTGAGAAGACAGGATGTACCTATCAACAAACCGATACTCAGACAAGAAAATAGATGTAAAAGCAAAGAACAAAAGAGGAAATTTTGCGAATCAAACAAAGAAGCTGCCGGTGTTCTCAGAATAATGGACTGACCACCCCACAGTCCAGTCCTTAGCATCACTGAATGTGTTTGGGATTACTTGGATCGTGTGAAGCAGATAATGTAACCAACTTCTAAGACTGAACTTTGGAGGTGTGGAAAAAATGTCCTTAAAGATTTGTTTAAAAAATCTGAAAGCGAGTTAAACTTAGTTACAGCTACAGTCTTGATAATTTACACTGGAGCCTTTGAAGCTGTGAAGTTCTCCCACATTTGGTGCTTGTTATCACATGAATGGAAATGAAAAAGAACATACTGCACCTGCTGCACATTTTTCTTGATTAATTCAAGAGTGGCGTTTGGTTAACGTTGCCATGCTGATTGCTGTGCACTGAACTGTAGTGCTTGATGTTATGGTAAGTTACAACAAGCTGTTATTTTGAAACTATGATTCGTGTTCATAAAAATCAAAATGCCCATGGAGAAATGATGTGAGTTAAGTCTTCTTTGGTCTTTTGATCTTTTTATCGCCTTTTGATCTGCTTTGATCTTGCTAGCGTGGCAGCTGCAGCCTTGGGAATATGCCGGTATTGCCAGTGTTCAATACCATCAGTATGACAGTGAGACAGAGTGTTATGCATCGTAAGGACATTTCTGATGACAAACAGGGGGCAAACAAAATGGATCTTCAAGACACTGCATCCTTTTCACTCGTGCCAAGTCTAGGGACTCTCTGTGGTGTGGAGTATATCCTCTTTCTAAAAAATACATCTGCTTACTTTCAATTAGTGCATCTGTCACTTGTTTCATTTCTTTGTTATGTTTTAATTCATGTTGTACATGGTTTTCTTTATTTTCAGTCTTTGTTGTATCTAGCATGTAATCCTTTTTTAGCCTGTGCTTTTCTAGTCTACTGAACTGACTGAAGTCTACTGAAATGAAATGTTGCAAGTTATAGGGCTTAATAACATATGTAAACGATACCAGAAAAGTTCTTGCTTTCAGAGTTCTTCCTTGCCATCCCTACACTTAATCACTTAATAGGATATACAATGTATAATAGTTTGGTTTAGATTTGCACAATTTTACCATTTCCCCAAATTTCAATCAGCCAACACATGGTTTGTGTCTGAAGGTTGCTTTTTTAGTTTTGCATTGGAGTTAGATGTCTGTAGCTAGCAAGTAATGGAACCTAAGGTAGACTATTTAGGGGTCCAAGCACTAAAGATACTGGATCCCTATTGTTTTTGCTTTTTCAAAGTTATTGTTCTCCTCTAAAACAAATCATACAGACAGGATATTTGAGCAGGTGGTAGCATCCCCTTTCCACTACTCAGGCACACAGGATGAGGCTGAATAAACTAAAGGGGACGCTACAGCATACATCTGTTATGTCTTACATTTAATGTTTTACATTTTGGCCCATGCTTCTAGAATCCTTGGCTCATACATAGTTAAAAAAGATGGTTCTTCAAAGGTTCTTTAGTAAAGAAAATGGTTCGTTATAGGACCATGAACACCCAAAGGACGCTTTGCATGATTAAGGGGTTCTTTACTTCATTAAAATGTTCTTCAGATTGATGGAGAATATGTTTTATATGGTTCTATATAGAATCTTTTTGAAAAGGGTTCTGTACAGCACCAAAAAGGGTTCTTCTGTTGTTACAGACTTGACATCGTTCGAAGAACCCTTTTTGGTGCTATATAGAACCCCTTTCAAAAAGGTTCTATATAGAACCATCTACAACTCATCTTCCACCAATCTGAAGAACCCTTTCATGATGCAAAGAACCCTTTAATCATGCAAAGTGTTCTTTGAGTGTTCGTGTTTTCTTTACTAATAAAACCCTTGAAGAACTATCATTTGTAAGTGTGTACCAAACCAATATATATACCTATGTACCTATATATATATATTGACATTTGTAAACAATACACCAATAAATCCTTCTGGATCAGTGAAATGTTGACTAAAACAGCTGTAACTCATGAACTCTTACTCTAATTCAGACAAAACTTGTTAGGCTTGTATTACAAACAATTTTGAGGTAGCCTGTCAGTTTACCATGTGTATATCTTTATTGAAGGCCCCTGATAATAATGATAATTTATGACATATTGATAAACTCTGACTCCTTTTCTGTCTGTGAAAAAGCCACAGTCTGGTACATTACACCTCATTGAGTTGATTAATGCTTGGACCCCGTGCATTACTGCTTGTGGCTATATTTACCTTTTACTATCATGCAGTTACTTCAAACCGTGTCAGATTGTTAAGTAATCTCAAACATATGTGACTATGAGGTTTATACTGAATGACATGCTTTTGTCTATTGAGCAGTAGCAGAATCCTGAATTTTGTTCACGCTTTTATCTGTCTTTGGCACAATACTAAATGGTCTACAAAAGCTTTCATTATTTGTGAGCTACATTAGCCTCACAGCACTACTGCAAAACTAAAGAAGAAAACCTCAGACACTGAAGATGTCTTGGCTTATCAACTATATTTGATATAAGGAAATTTGTTTAAATGTTTAAATGTTTTTGCTTTAAGGCAGTACGCATTCCAAATAAGCAATGTAGACTGTGTACAAAAATCATATTCAATACATTCTGCTTGGGTATTACAAGCAACAGCTGTGCAGTACTCACATTAGTGTAAAAGAACACATTAGTGCAATAAAACAGCTGTGCAGAAAAATCATTCTGCAAAAAAAAAGAATATCAGTGGGGCAGCAGTTACACTTTATGGGGTGAGTGCCAGAGGATCAGACTGATTGAGTCACCTTTGGGTTCTTGGACGAGGGCAGGGTAGTGATTGTGTAGTAGCACACTGGAGGTTGTGACTTGAAAGACTATCTATCTATATCATCAGGATATAGTACTGTGGATAGGATGTAGAAGGAGGAGTTATTCATGTTCGGTGGGTTTGAACAACTGTGCAGAGCTGGATAGTAATCACAATTTTCACTAAATAGCAACAGTCACCTGTCATAACGTTATAAAAAAATCGTTATTGTTTTACTGCAACTGCATTGATAAGAATGTAAATGGAAAATTGTTTATCTCATTTCTCACCTTTTTATTTATTTCCAGTCTCACACCACAATTATGTATGTCATTTTTCACCACCAGGAAAAATGGAGAAAACATATATTTAGCAGAAAATTACACAGAAGCCTCAACAACTAAATATAACACCAGCATTTTCAGCATTTAGTGTGTCCACCTATTGCCTTCATTACTGCTTCCATTCTTTTAGGAGACTTGCTTTCAGTTTCAGACAAATTTTTACACTCCAAGGTTCAGTCTTAGAAGTTGGTTGCATGTTCTGCTTCTCACAGTCCAAGTAATCCCAAACGGTTAGTGTTATTGAGGTCTGGACTCGGGGATGGATAGTGCATAGTTCTAAGAAAACCAGCAGCTGATATTTTTTGTCAGATTCAGTGTTCTAGCTCAAATATTATTCTTTTTGGTCTCTTTCTTTTTTCTCAGTGATGACTTCTTGACAGCTACACATCCTTTCAGACCCATAGCGTTTTCTTCTCACAGTGAAAGGATGGACGAAACACCTCTGTCTCAAAGATGAAAGCTTTAAATATTTTTATAATCCAGGTTTAGAAAACTACTGTTTATTCACTTATTTTCTTTTTACTTTTGCAAGTGGCTTATTTTATATAGTCTTCTCCAAAATATCTCCTGTCTCACTCTGCAAACAGCCAATCAGTGCAAGCATTTTTACAGAGCATAATCTGACTTCAGTTAGCTTTAATTGGTTGACTATTAGAACTACACAGCAATGGATTAAAAACAAAGAGCAACAATGAGAATGTAAGCGTACCCAAAAGAAAATGTAATGGTGGTGTTTTTAGAGATTTGGTTTTAAAGCTAATGATGTCAAACAATGACATGTAACATTGCCACAAAGTGGTATTAATGACAAAAGGAAGCAACAAATATATTTTCTCAGTTATGAAGCTGTAATAATAGAGTTTTTGGAATATGTGACCAACAAAGCTCAGACAGAGGCCAGCAGACATGTCCATTCCATGAGCACTAATACAAATCAATTGTCTATTACTGAGATATATGCAACACCTTATGCACCAAACTCACCACTTATTAATCATTTATTTACTGTATTATGATCATAATACAGTATTTTTGTTGCCTGTATAAATGCCACAACACTAATTAATCATGTTTTCTTTTTCCTCTTGATTGCCTTCACTTTCCTTATTGCAGTCTTTTTCCCATATCACCCAGCAATTTGCATGTATTTCTTTCAAGGAGTGTTGACACAAATTTATGCTGTTCCCTCTGAGTTTTGGAAGGCTGCTTATTAAGTGCTTTCATGATTATTAAGAGCATGTTATCTGCTCAACAGGTAATGTTATGTTCTCCTCAGAAAGGAGCTTTTCATTTTTTTTTTCTACTTCCCACGGTTCTCTCCCAGAGCCTTACTCTTTCAGTAATAATGGGTTTCGTGTTGGTGGTGGTGCTGTAGCATGGGTTTGTGACCACTGGTGATCACTTAAGCACTGGTAGTTACCGGGATGTGCATGTAATTTGTAGTTAATTTGAGACGTTCCTGTCATTCTCCTTTGTCATCTTTGTGGCAGGATCATCCCTAATGTTTAGTAGGACTGCAGCTTACAATTACTGCAGTATTCAGTTAATTTATCGACTGTTTTTTTTCTTCAATTAATCAACTAATCTAAGTAGCAGAAAATGTAACGCGGGCTCATCTTCAGTGCACTGCTATGAAACACTGTCTTTGCTTTGCATCTCTGCCCTTTTATAACAAAATGGTAACTTCACCATTCTATGTGTGTTCTTAACTTTCAGTGTAAGTTAATGTAAAAAGTTTTTGTTCAAAGTAGTTTTGGCTTTATTATTAAATATTTACACAGAACTGGGGACTGGAGTACAGGAGACAGGATTTTTTTTTGACCAAGATTTCCCCACTAATGACTCAGTACTTGAAATAAAAACCTGCAGATATTCATCTGACAATTATGTTACATTCAGCAAATGAAAAATACAAATATGTTACATTTAGCAAATGAAAAAATAAAAAAGGATTATTCTTCTTTTATAAAACCATAAAACACCTACCCCAAGTTCTAATTCATATCTTTTAAATAAGGGCCTTTATCAAAGGCACATGACTTCTGTTTTAAAAATTCTGTTTTTGAAAGGTGCACAGACAAGAAAGGAATAACATCCAAGTCCAAGACAAGCTGGCTTTTTGTAGTTCTCCTCTATGGATAAAGCAAAAATAAATGAAGTAGTTTCTGTGTTGTTCATAACATGATGTAATGAAATTTGATGTTACATTAACAGTCCAGTCATCAGCTGTGTCCTAAAGCAGCTTGGCAAATGGCAATAACCGTGTATGTAATGTGACATTTTCAAATATATACATTTCAGCCTATAATAAATGAATCAGGAAGGCAGATCTGGTGATTGTGAGTGCCTTGAAAAGTAACTCAGACGTGTCTTCTGAGGACGCAGGTGAATGGTCTACTATTGTCATCATATCTTCATCAGTATAATATTGATTTTGCATTTGAGACCTAAAAATCAAATTAGATCTCCTTTTTTCACTCTTTGGGTGTGATGTCAATAAGTAAAGATGTATGA